CCTTCTGGTCGGCCATCTCACTAATTGCCAAAGGGTTGAAACAGGAACGCACACAACAGAGCACCACAGACAAACCACTTAACTCAGACTGACGCCAGCTCACTAACAGTCGTGGGAGACCCCCAGCTAACACCACCTAGCAGCACAACTCGTAACTACAAAGCATGCGCGCGCAACAGGTCGGTTCCGGTTATTTTTGGGTTCCCCTTCGTATATTCAAAAGGAATAGTTAAGATCTGTAGTCCTCTACAGGAATTAGGGGATTTGACACCCATCATGATTCTAACAATTTTCTTTTGCAATGTAAATACCTTTTTACTGTCAGATGAATTACCCCAGAAAATTATTCCATACTTTATTAAGGAGTGAAAGTAAGCAAAATAGACTGATTTGAGAGTATCAATGTTATTAATGTGCAACATGAATCTAACTGCATAACACGCTCTACTTAGCTTTTGAATCAACTGATCAATATAGTTTTTCCAGTTTAAATGATTATCAATTTGCAAGCGAAGGAATTTTGTGTTTACTCCCTCTTCTATATATTTATCATTATCTCCAATGTTTAATGGCTATTGCTGTGAGTATTTTGTTACAGATTTTATACATTTGTTTTTTCTAGGTTCAGGGACAGCTTGTTTGCAGAAAACCATTTACTCATTTGCGAAAGAACCTTGTTTGGTAACATGCACAAATCATCTAAATTTTTACCAGAAAATATAACACTAGTGTCATCTGCAAATATTATAGGTATTGATGGGGTCCTTGGTGTAGGAGGGAGGTCATTTATATAAATTATGAAAAGCAAAGGCCCCAAAATTGACCCCTGTGGAACTCCATGTTTTATTATTCCCCAGTTTGAGTAGGTACTTTGGGCTGAACATACATAGATGCATATGTATGTTTTATACTTTGTGATATCCAGTTGGATTTATATTGTATGATTAAATATCTTATTATTATTTTGTTATCTAGCATAAACAATGATGGATTCTATATCTATGAACATAATCTCTGGAAGACACATTTGTTGTTCCTCATTTACATAAATTATTTTCCACTATCTGTAAATAAAATGGCTAACCCTATATTATTTGCAGATGATACTAGTATTATTATATCTAACACCAATCCTGATTAATTCAAAAGTAACATTAGTTTAGTCATAAATGAAATAACTACTTGGTTGAATAATAATTTTTAACACTAAATTGTGAAAAATCACATCTTTTACAATTCTTCTTAAATAATATATAAAGAAATAAAAATGCAAATATCTACTAATTCAGTAACTGCCGGTCACGGTAGCCGAGTGGTCTAAGGCATGTACTGTCTTCACTCGCTTGGAAACCGGGATCGTGGGTTCAAATCCCACTCAGGGCATGGATGTTTAGTTTGTGTGTGTGCATTTTTCTGCTTGTGTACAGGTAGAGGCCTTGCGACGAGCTAATCACCCGCCCAAGGAGTCCTAGATCTAGAAAAATCGAAGTGAACGGAGAAGTTCACGGAGGTAGGCCTAGGCCCACAGGGGCTGTAGTGCCAAGGAAAAAAGAAATCAGTAATTACTAGTATCAATTGTACTAAATTTTGGGGGTAAACATTGACAATGCTTTGTCATGGAAGGGCCATATCACTAAATTATCGTTGAGATTAAAGGCCTATTATGCAATAAGGACTATAAAGCCGTTTAAGTCATTGGACTCAATGAAGATGATCTATTACTCCTATGTACACCATATTTTGTCTTATGGTATTATTTTCTGGGGTAATTCTCATCTCAATGAGAGCATCTTTAAAATTAAAAAAAGAATTATAAGAGTCATTATCAATTCGGGTAGCTATATGATTCATGCCGGGAATTGTTCAAAAAACTGTCAATATTGCCACTTCAGTCTCAGTATATTTTCTCACTTCCTGTTTTTGTCAATAAGAATAAAAGTTACTTTATATCTAATTCTGATATTCATGATATCAATACACGTTACAACTAAAATTTACATTTCCCATCCACAAATTTAACATTAGTACAGAAGGGAGTACTTTTTTTCTGGAAGTATGATTTATAACCACTTACCATTATATATGTATTAGAATGCAATCTAAATATATTAAGCATTTCAAATCCTTATTAATAACTTATCTTACAGACCATGCATGCTATAATATTGATTCCTACGCAACGGTCTGTTGGAATTCGATTTGTCGTTGTGAGATCCCAACAATTTCCATGCACGCGTTGTCACGGAAGTATATATTCCCATTCTCGCCGTTACACAGCGATGGACGCAATATAACACGTATACAGAATTGTGCAGAGAGAGCGTTTTCGTACTTAGTTGTGTAATGAAAATTACATGCTTCAACAATTACGGATTTTGCTAACTGAAAGCAGAGAGTTTTGTTAGAACCCTGCAGTTCTCTTAGATGGAACGTTGTCAACAGCGGTCAACAGTTAACATTATTACCATCGGTTACCAAAGAGAACTTACAAGTAGTATCGATAGGTATGAGCAGCGAGTGAGAGAAAAGTACCATGGCTGACTGAAAATGGTGATGAGTGAATAATTCAAGTATTGTGGCTTAGAAACTTATTAATTAATTTCATAATTTAAATATTTGTGAAGGGAGACTGAATTTGCAGTATTTAGGCAAAGCGCAGGAGTGATTAACAATGAACGGTTTGAGCTTAAGTGAGTTGTGCTGTTTGTTTTGTTGTCCTCCTTGTCCAACAAGAATAGCTGCCAAACTGGCATTCCTACCACCTGAACCTACATACAAATTTCTGGCCGACGAAGCGAGTTCAAAGTTCAGTTTGAACCTTACCGAACGAGCGGAGTGGCAATATTCTGAAAGAGAGAAAGAAAATATTGAGGGATTCTTTACACGGACTTCTCGGGGTAATCGTATTGCATGTTTATTTGTGAGGTGCAGTACAAATGCCCGATTTACAATACTGTTTTCACATGGTAATGCGGTTGATTTGGGACAGATGAGTAGTTTTTATCTAGGACTTGGTTCTCGCATCAACTGCAACATATTCAGTTATGACTACTCAGGTTATGGAGCAAGTACAGGGAAACCATCAGAGAAGAATTTATATGCTGATATCGATGCAGCATGGCACGCTCTTCGTACCAGCTATGGAATATCACCGGAGAATATAATCTTATATGGACAGAGTATTGGCACTGTACCTACAGTGGACTTGGCATCGCGCTATGAAGTGGGAGCTGTCATTCTGCATTCACCACTTATGTCGGGCATGAGAGTTGCCTTCCCCAACACCAAGAGGACTTGGTTCTTTGATGCCTTCCCTAGGTGAATAAGTTATGTTTTATTTCTTAGGAAGGCTGGCACTTCATTAATGTATTGCATGATGTGTGTCACTGAGGAGAAATGTAGCCCATTCGCACACTGTCACCACTCTGGGCACCCATCTTGTACACCTTCAGCAGATGGTTTGTGTTGGCAGTCGGTGGTAGTTGTTCATAATGCTAGTTGATTGTTTGTTTTGCTATGAACACAGATGAAGATGTAAGTATTGTTAGGTGTCACTTTAAAAGACATACTAGCATGGGTTTCTTTACTACATTCAGACATAAAGAAATGTTTAGATTATGTGGTACAGTGACAGTTCTAATTTCCATTTTAATTTACACAACAGAAGTTTTCAGGAGATGCGGTTTCATAAAATGTTGTGGCAGTTTTATCTGTAATCATAATCGTTAATGTTTTGTGTTGCGAAAATCCATCACATTAATATTGTTTTATTATGTGATGTTACTTCTGTGAAGTGGACAGATAATTTTGAATTATATCATTCCCTCATATCTGTAGTTTGTTCATTGCTTTTTGTGATGAAAGTGGTTTTGATAGCTTTCGTGTTTCATGCTCAAGTGAATTCATTCATTCATTCCCTTTATTTTCCATATATCCATACAGGTAACAAACCTAGGATGTGGAAATGGTCCCTTTGAAAATAGATATCTCAAGATACATATACAAAATTACATGAGTCAGATAATCAAAATCACTTACATTAATTGATTAACATAAATAGTATAAAGTAAAAAATTTAATAATATAGTTTAAAAATAACTTACTATAAAACTTGAATTAATACAATTTTATTTAAATTACCTGTGTTAACTGAAATAAATACATTACAAATTTACACACTTATGACCAGTTATGTTGATAATATTTGTTCATGCTGAAGTGAATAGTTTCTTTCTGTAGTGAAATGATTCTGTAGTTATGGCTGTGGTCTCCTGTGTTATGACACTGTGTTATTTGGAAGGTGGTTACATGAAGTGGGTAACCACTTACCAGGCATCACAACCCACTGTCGGTGGAAACCTTAAATTTTGAAGTATGATTCTGCATTTATTTGGAATGTTGTGGTGCTCTTATGCAGTGAGGATCCTCACAGAAGCTACATGCAGTCAAATACTGGAATTGTGAATAAGATGAGGCATTTGTTTTATAGTCTCGGTTCTATCAAATGCAGTGGTGTATGTTTTAAGTGGCTGATTTTGACAGCTGTTCAAAGTAGGTATGGATATTTAGTTTTGAATATATTTTTGTTTTACCCTGAGTACCAAAACTCTCAAATCATTGTGACATTTAATTTTAGGTAGAAAATACAGCTCAAGTTGGTTAATGACTGGTGTGGTTTTGTGTGCGTGCGCGCTTCTTGTCCATTTATATATGTTTTGCACTTAAAATTTATTAATTATCCTCACAAGTATTTCATCTATATATAACCAACCAACACACTGGAGCTCAGTACTTGAGAAGTCAACAATTGCTCAGCCACACAAGAGATCCCCAGCATTTATGGAACCCAGGGGTTTATTACCCTGTTCACAAAAGCCCACCACTGGTGTCTGTCCTGAGGCAAATGTGTCCAGTCCATGCCCCCACCCCAAATGCTATTTCACTACAGTCTTTTTTGATATTAAGATCTTTATGTTGTGGGATATAACACCATGTACTCGCTTCAAAGATAACTAATATATTCAAAGAACATGTCATATCCTTCATGCTGGTTTCTTGCTTGGCTTGCCATTCAACCCTAAAGATGGAGTCGACATGTTCTTCCAAAATTTCAGTTGACTTTAAGTAGACTAAATGGCATATTCCAGAAGATAGGACTCTTCATTGGCACAGATATGAGAACCTCTAATCTTAAAGCCTTCCTAGTGGTCTCTTACCTTCAGGTTTTCCTTCCAAAACAGTGTATGCACTTCTTTTTCATGCATGCTACATGCCCTGCCCAATTAGTCATCCACAGTTGGTCATTCTAATAATGCTTGACGATGAGCAGAATGTGTGAAACTGCATTGTGCAGTTTTCTCTAGCCCCTCCCCCCACCAAGTTTCACGCCCATACAAAAAATTACAGGAAAATTTGTAGTTTTGTGTATATTAATCTGTACATTTTTAAATAGCAAGTGAGAAAACAGAAGATTCTGACCTGAATGGTAGCAAGCATACTCTGCTTGTAATCTCTTTATTAACAAAATAATTTTTTGTTACTTTCAAAGGATATCATCATGGTGTTCAGTATTTCAGGTGTTTTATTTCTACTTTGATGCCAAAAAATGAACTTTTCATCATGGACCAGTGCAAGGTGTCTGAATATATGTTTCTCCAGTGCCTTCCTGGAACTGACTGATTTTCATGAGACCACATAGGACTGTCACACTGTTTTAGTTTTAGTCTCAAGTAACTTCTATTTTGACAGTTGATACAGTAATGGGTTACAGGCTGGATGATCCCAGGTTTGATTCCCCACAGTGCAGGATTTTTCTCTTCTCCATAGTGTTCAGACTGGCTCTGGGGCCCACTCAGCCTCCTATCCAATGGGTAATGGGGGCTCTTTCCCCAGGGGTAAAGTGGCAAGGGTATGGAGGTAAACACTCACCACCATCTAGTGCTCATGTTGAGAATGATGGAGCCCCACTCCCCTGTATGTCTTCATGGCGTGGTGCTTAACTAATTAAACACAGGAATAACTTCCGCTGCCATGCGTCAGTTCTTCGCCAGTACATATATTGGTCGAAGAAAACTACTGTTGATGTATATTTATTGACTCTAAGGACATTTGAGTGTCACTGCCAGCTGTGATTATGGTAGAAATCTCATAAATATTCATTTTTTTTCCTCATATAGTTTGTACAGCATTAATGTTTGCATAGGCTGTAGTTAGTAATCTTGTTCTCTACAGGCCATTAAGAGCCTCAGTAGGAAAGGCTGGAACACATTTTCTGTGACCAGTCCACATAGAGAAAAGCCTGTTGGTGTCATGCCTGGTGAACAAAGCTGAGCAATTGACTAACCTTGACCTGTTCATTGACCATGAACTGATGGCACTCCTGGATAGTGCTGTCATAAACTGTATCCTTTAATGTGCTCTTAAATTTGCATTTTATCCCACAGGGAAGTTCAGTACTTTAGCATGTGCAAGAATTGCAAATGTGTTATTATTGTGCTGTGTAATTAATTACATATACAAGGTACAAAGACACAGAAAAGTCTTTACCCATATTTTCTTTCAGCCAAAATATTAGTGTGATTGAGTAACCGGGTTATACATTCGATGCAATAGGGTACGCTTGGACCGCCCCAGCATTAACTCTCAGCTGCTCTGCAGCACTGCACTGCTGTCAGTCAATGAAGATGGCTGGTGTGCTCAACACGTCCATGTTGTATGAACAGCAAAGTGTTATTCATTCTCTATGGAGTAAGGGATGACCGCCCATCGAGATCCATAGGGAAGTGCAGCCGATGTATGGGGGCAAATGTCTCGCTTTGAGAAGAGTGCGGTGGTGGTGTTGTGAGTTCACTAATGGCCGGGAAGACCTTAATGACAATGAGCGGTCAGGGCAGCCTCACACCTTGCTCACACCAGACAACATTGCCTGCATGGATACAATGATGCAATGGTAAAGCAGATCGGCATGCGCACCTGAAGGTCATTTCCAAGGAGCTAGGCATTTCACGATTCCTTGGGGTATCGCAAGGTTTCATGTCGGTGGGTGCCTAAGCTGTTGGATGATCTGAACAAGGCCAACAGAATGATAATGTCACTGCAACATTTTGAGCATTACTCCGAGGAGCGTGAAAGGTTCCTGGATCTCCTTGTCACCATAGATGATACATGGGTATTGCATTTCACTCCAAGATCCAAGCAGCAAAGCATTAAATTAATTATTTTTTTTAAATTAGCTCAATGGGGTTGGAGTCCAGCTGGGTCCACTCGGCACAGTGGCCACTGATTGGCCTATTGTGCCCTGTCCCGGGTGATTATGATGATGGAGAATTTGGTGGAATGGAGATTGGCAGGGGAAACCAAAGTACTTGGAGAAAACCCACCCCAGCGCTACTTTGTCCACCGCAAATCCCACTTGACCAGACCCGGGATCGAAACTGGGCCACCGCAGTGGGAAGCCAGCGAAAAACTGCTTGAGCTATAGCACAGCCCTAAGCAACAGAGCATGGTGTGGAAACATCCCAGTTCACCTGTCACAAAGAAATTCTGCAGAATGCCATCCGTCAGGAAGTTGATGGTCACGGTCTTCTGGGATTGCCGAGGACCGCTCCTGTTGGATTTCATGCCATGAGGTGCCACCATCAACACTGACAGCTATTGTGGCACACTCATGCTTGCACGTCTGCAAACTGCCATCAGGAAAAAGCGCCTGGGGATTCTCGTGGATGATGCCGTTCTCCTCCATGACAACGCCAGGCCTCATGCGGCAAACAGGACCGGCACCCGACTGCAGTCATTCGGATGGGAGATTATGGAGCATGTACCATATAGTCCAGACCTCACCCCCATTGATTACCATGTGTTCAGCCCACTGAAGAAGTTCCTGGCAGGCCAGAGGTTCATTTCTGACGATGAAGCGAAAACCGCTGTCCAGCAATGGCTCTACTCTCAACCAGCCAAATTCTACAACAGCAGCATCTCTAAACTAGTGGGGCAATGAGACAAATGCCTGAACTGGGATGGTGACTGTATGGAAAAGTAGTCGAAGGTACTTAGAAAACTGCCTGTATTTTGATTTCCCTGTATGTGTATTATTGTGGCTGAAAAAAATAGGGGCAAAGACTTTTCGATTTGCCATTGTAATTACATTATATTTGTATAAGCTTTGAGAGTTAAGCTGCATTGTTCCCATTCTGTAAAACTTGATTTGTGAAATATGAAAGGAAACAGTTTTGAGATGAAGATTGTCTGTCTTTTGGAATGTGACATTGTGTAGTTTTTTAGGTGGGTATCAACATTTTGGAGGAATGTGTTATGGTATCTTCATGGCACCAGCCTGCCACACTGCGTGGTGCCATATCCCACTTTATAGTCACAACTATGAGCACCTGATATATCACAATGTTGAGGTGATTGTTGTGCCTGTTATGTTGCAGTATCGACAAGGTTCCGAAGGTAACATCACCAGTGCTTGTGATTCATGGTACTGAAGATGAAGTAATTGATTTTTCCCATGGCCTGGCAATCTATGAGCGGTGCCCTCGTGCTGTTGAACCTCTGTGGGTCGATGTATGTATTGAACAGATGCTATATTTTCACTAACTTGCAAGACAAAATAATATATGATATTGAAACAAATATGGCTAACCATCCTGTCTGGTTCCCACATGAATGTAGTGTTAAAGTGGGATTATTCTGCAGTGATGTCTTTTTGAAAGTTGAGTTGGTATCAAGTGATTTGGAGACTGTAGCTCCATCATTGGGGTATGTTCATGTGATGCATGACATGAGTATGTGTTGTGTTTGTATACACAGTATATGCTGTCAGAGTCCCCCTTATCCTAGTGCAGCCAGTTGGGAACAGCTGGCAGTAATATTCAGAATGGCAGGCCTCGTTACAGTTTATCCATCATTGGGATATGTTCATGTGATACATGACATGAGTATGTGTTGTGTTTGTATACACGGTATATGCTGTCAGAGTCCCCCTTATCCTAGTGCAGCCAGTTGGGAACAGCTGGCAGTAATGGTCAGAATGGCAGGCCTCGTTACAGTTTATTTGAGGGAGGCCATGGGGGTCAGGCTGCATCCTGACAACTTCTGTAGAGGTGAAGGATTCACGCATGTTGATCCTGACATCTGGCTGCCAACAAAGTAAGGCCATTGAAGAACAGAGGAAAGGGTCAGCAATAACCAGGAAGCATTCTGGATGGTTTGGGTTAAGCAACATGGACTTTATGATGACTGATAACTTGATTCTACTCACTGCTCCCCCATCATCCACTGTATGATGGGTTCGGAGGGCTTATAATGTGTACAGACACAGTGGGCAGTCACATCTGCATTTGATGGTGGGGACAGGGACAGTTTCTGATTATTTCACCCAGCTGATTGCCCAAGAAGACATCATTGCATCCAGTCAGTTTGGAAGCTTGTAGAGAATTGTTCTGATTTACTGGAATGTATGTTTAGTTTTTGTGTTCTTTGTACAGAGCACAGGTGGGAGGAACATAGACTGAGGGTACTTGAGAATCGGGTGTTGAGAATATTTGGACCGAAGAGGGATGAAGTGACAGGAGGTTGGAGAAAGCTGCATAATGAGGAGCTTCATAACTTATACCCTTCTCCAAGTATAATTATAATGGTCAAGTCAAGGAGGATGTGGTGGGCAAGGCATGTTGCATGAATGGGGGAGAAGAAGAATGGATATAGGATATAGGTGGGAAAGCCAGAAGAAAGGAGACCACTGGGAAGACCAAGGCGTAGGTGGGTGGATAATATTGAAATGGATCTTAGAGAGATAGGATGGGATGGTATGGATTGGATAGATCTGGCTCAGGATAGGGACCAGTGGAAGGCTCTTGTGAACACAGTAACGAACCTTCCAGTTCCATAAAATAATGTTGTATTTTAGCATCCTGTTGCACTGATTTTCATCCATGATATGTATACAGTGGCCATCTTGTAGTGCACTCAATTTCACCTCTTACTTCACGACATGTTTCGGCAACATAGTGCCATCATCAGGTGCCCTAATTATGCTAATCTATTGCATTGCTTGCCATTATATGTCTTTATAAAATTATTTAAAAAGTGCGTATTCATCAACTATAATAAAATGCTGGAAAATTTTTGAGTAGCTGCAGATTTGGCTTCTCAGAAAGGTCTCAGCTCCATAAGTAAGTACAGAACACATAAAGTTAATGCCATATTGGATTGTCATGTTTGTCTCTCTGCATGTTTAATCTCTCATACCATTAAATAGATTTCAGTAAAATTTTGTACTGGGTGGTCTACATTAAAAGCTGACAGGACAGTTTTATTTTGCTTTGTGTCTGTCAGATATAAAATCGTGCTTTACATGAGGATTAGATTGAACTTATCAGTTTCCTCAAAATTGACTCATTGTGCAGACAATTAGTGTATTGTGTAAATTATAGACTTTCTTTAGATCTACAACTTTTATTTGGAATGCTTTACTGTACAGTGATAAAGGCAATACAAGGAAATCTAATTTTTTATTTTGTGTAGTGTGACTAATGAGGTCTGAGGTTCTTACAGCACCGTCTGAAGATTACTGTTGTTCCCCTGAAGATAGTATTCTGCATCGTCAGTGTTGTGAGAACCTCAGTTCCAGCATGAACTAAGACTGTAGCTGTATTTTGCCACTGCATTCCAGAACTAATTCATGAATATTAACCCTGTGTTTGTACAGTTTCATTGCCCGTCACATTGGCATCTTATGGGTGGCAACACTGTCACAAATCAGAATAAATTATGTATCTGAATGTGAAATCTTCAGGAAAATTTTATTTTGTGTAATATTGTTTTACTGAACACTCAGTTTATCAGGAACACATTATGATTGCTTAGTGAAGGTAGCATGTTTCAGGAAGATGAACTGCTGCTGTGACTTATATGTAAGACATTGAAAGTAAATGTTTTTACTGAAAGAAGCTGTGCAGTCTTGACACTCTACCATAACCCCCCTGTGGTGCAGTGAAGGCCAACCCCCGGTAATATGTTAACATAGTATTAACTTTTTTGTATTTTAGGGAAAAATATTGGTTGGAATAGATTTAGTCTTGGGAAATACTTGTACGAGGTACGAAAGCGGATGTAAGAAAGGTTAACAACTTAAAGGAATTTCTGCGTATGGATTTATACGAACATTGGCTTGCCACGAGGGAATGCCCAGTCAGCAGAATGACGTTGAATGTATATCAAACTGCTAACTACAGAACTTACACTTGTGTGATGAGGGGACGTTTGGAGGTAAAAGTGTCAGCCAAACGGTTTAGCAGTAGAAGGGGGTGTGTCCCCTTAGGATCCCAGCCAACGAGATCACCCACCTTGGGATAAGACATCATTGGAGGCAGACTTACACCCTCCGGGAAAATAATGAGTAAGCATAAATAGGGGTATGTAACCCAGAGACCGAATTAGGAAGGGGATTATTATAACAGTAATTTTGGCCAATTGCGGCCGCAGGCTATGTCCAAATGGGCACCGACTCGACACCCGGCAACGCCATCCGTCTGCAGATTCAACCCAAGTAAGTGGAACTACTCTTATCGCCATGCGTAATAATTGTAATATTATTAAAGTGTAACTCCTCCAATGGGACTTGAGTCAGGAACGTTAGAACAAGTGTGCAGGGCGTAAGAGTGGTCGGACAGTGATGCAGTTGTAGCCAAGTGTAATGTGTAACCTGACACCAGTCGGCTCTTTCATTGTGATCGTACCAAAATGTGTATAACTGTATATTGATTGTGTTTTTACTAATATAGGGTAGCATAGGGTGAGGATGTGGTTTCTGTTGTGATTTCCTCCCTTACCACATTTCGCACCCGCGCCCTCCAGACAAGCCCGGTGAACAGTGAGCCCCTAGCCAATGAAACAACGATGAGGAAGTAATTCAGTCGTTTCCTTAGTCCACCCCCTGTGACTGCAGTACAAAATGTGACAGTGGGGATACCTCCACGCCCCCCTGTCACCACGGAATAACTGGTGGCAGAACAGTGACGGCAGCGGTGGGATTACCAATCCACCCCTGTCGTAAGGATTAAGGGCATAAACCCCCCCCCCCCAATCATGGAAGTGGATCCATTCTCATCTTATAAGTCTCTCTGATGCAGAAGGTAGACCTTTCTTATGTTTTATTTTTCCCCCTCCAGGGAGCAGGACACAATGATGTTGAACTCTACTCTCAGTATTTGGAGCGCCTGAAGCAGTTTGTATCTGTGGAACTACTCAACTGACAACTACTGCCACCTGGTGAGGAGTCGGAACACAATGCCACGTCCACTGTCAGTTCAGCCACCACGAGTTCTGTTACTGAGAAATTGCTCTAGCTAACCGATCCTCCAGCAAATCAGACAGTTGGTGAATCAGCCACCAGCCTGCAGGAAGAAAAATCAAATAGTGAACAGTCTTGTAAGAGCAGTGTGCTGAGTAGCCCTCCCACTGTACCGGCAACTTACGAACTGCCACGAGAAACTACCTGCTAGTCTTCTAACAAGGCATTTCATCAATTGGATCCTGGTTTTGGAAAACGAGAAGTTTCTGCACCATAATTTGGATTTCTCTGTTGAGAGAAGTAATGAAAATATTATGAAGAACTCTTCATTAATTATTCTCACAGCACAGAATTTTCATGATAAATTGTGAAGTGTGCGATGATAGCGCTTGTTTTCCAAAATGGAATAAGCATTTGCTGGAGATGAACTCAGTCTGATGTGTTTTGTGGTGTTGGCATGAGAGCAAGGTAGCGAAGGACTGGAACTAGTGAAGATGTAGCTAACCATACTTCCCATTATAGAATCAGTGACTGTCTGATATTTTACAGGGATCAAATTGAGTAAGAACTTATTGTTCCAAATTGAAGTGATATTTTAAACTACCATTAATCTGACTCTTTGCAATAGTAAGTGCATTTTGTTCTAGAGTAAACTTTCAGAAGTTTGATGTTGATAATAAAAAGGCCTGATTATATGTTATGGGGGTGAAACACTGCCGCGACATTATTAATTTCTACCTATGAGGTGTGTAGGTTCAAGTTAATATAGTGTGATGAGAGTGTACCTGTATATGGGCCTAGTATTTACATTAATTTGTATGTCTGACATCAATCAGGAAGTAGCCCCTGCAGTTTTGTTCAAACCCCATTGTAGTTAATACATTTTTATATTTTATTTATTAATTGTTACCCTTGTGTACTTCATTGAAATGCTTTCCTTTGTAGTAATTTCATATATATTTATAAATTGCAATGAAATAATTCATATGGAGATTTCACTTTTTGTGTAATTATATTTATTCTCCTCAGCAGTACAGTGTAGAAATTTTGGCTTCCAACTGAACTGCACAAGGCAGAACTTTTGTATTTTGCAACTCTCACTTGATGGTTTGGTGATGAAATGCTGCATTATAACAGTGCATGGTGCAATATGGCCGGAAATGAGTCTTACTCACTCTAAAGGTCTGAAGTTTTATGTTGTGTCCTTGTGATATTAAAAATAAAATAATAATCCTCTTACTGCCAAGTGAAGTGCTGCAGGCTGCATTGTAAAATCTAAGTAACACAAGAGAACCCTGTGTCTTGAATATCAAATATTGTGCATGATTATGCCATCTTGTAACATATAAATGAATTAGATGCAGTGAAGAACCAGCTCTGAGCATCAGCCAAACAAATCAGATTGTTGCAGGCTTAGTGGAAGCTGTCTTCAGTTTAATCAGTTTAATGTCAGGGAAGGGGTTAAGAATAGAAATTATTTGATTAAGATTGATGTGGCATCATTGTCATATCATCACTATAGCTATTATCACCTGTCACTAATTGTTTATATAGTTAAATATATTATCACCTGCAGTCACTTCTACTGGCTTGCTGAATGCTAATTGGTTGTGAGATGGAGCATCTGATGGAAGATTAGCATGAGTTATGTGTGTGAGAAGTAGCATTCTGCTGCTTTTACACAGTAAGATGATACATTACTTTGCATTCATGTTATAACGTTGATATCAAAGTTTTTATCCAAAGTATTTGAGAGTTCGGATGCACAGTGTAAAAGCTGGTAACGTGTCAGTATGTCATATATTAAGATATGGATTGTACTTCACTTTGTAGTATGTAGAATTTCCATTTCTGTTACAGTCAAGGCCATTAGGTTGTCATGGAGTTGAATAGATCTTACTAAGTAGATGTTTTGAACATCAGTGAGTTCATATATGTTTGTGTAAGATTAGTTCATATGTTGTATTCATCTTTATTGTAGTACTTCAAAGAATTGGCATATTTCAAGAACTTATGTGATAAATTATTTGTCTCTTTTCTTCTATAATTTCTGCTCCACCACTTTTTCAGTTCAGTATATTCTAAAATGAACTTTTAAAGTCCTCAAAAATAGTAGCAGTTGTGATCAGCTAATTATGGCCATAATTGAAGTTCATTATTGTTGAAAAACAAAATTGATGGTTCGACAAACTCATTGCATCATTCCTTATGTCATGCATGGTAAGCAATGTCTTGTAAGTTACTGGAAGAGGAACATGACAGTTTGTAGTGAGAGGCTGTAGAGGTCTCCTGTTCATATGTCAGTCATTTTAAAAAAAACTGGATGTCAGTGGACTTAACATGTCTTTGTTTTCATTCATGAGGAAAAGAAGTTATTGTTCTTATTCTGTGACGAAACAGTGCCTGCATTTGCATAAAATTACAGTTATTTTCATGGGATGATTTTAAAAATTGCAAATTACGACAGAGATATGTGAGTGAATGTCAGTTTTCAAAGAATCTTGCTTTGTGTACTGTGCCAAGTCAAAAGAAATTGATGTTAGAAAGAAAGAGTCAGGAAATAACAGAACACTTGCTGTAGACTCTGCTGAGAGAGTTTTCAGTGACAGCAAATGGTGTCAGTAAGGGTATGCTGCTAATAGCTCATCATCTATTTTTTTGTCCATTGAGACTAGTCTGAGATTTATTGACATGAAGGCATTAACATATTCCTGCATGCTTTCTTTGGTGGTAACAGAAGTACATGGGGGGAAAAGAACAGATATTTACAAAGAGTGATTCAAGAGGAAGGTTCAGATGTCATTAGTAAGGGCTCAGAAGAAAATGAGCAATCACTTTAGATCTATTGGCATTCAGTGTGTTTCTGGTGAGCACCAATTTTGTGAATGGGTGACAGGATGGTACCTTAAGAATCGGTTACAGCTACTACCTGTCGTGTTCCTCCTGCTGCTTGTGGTGGTTACTTACTGTAAATGATGTCAGTTGTTTATCACAATTTAATTCTCTTCAACCAAGCCTAGTGTTATAGGTAATGCAAAATATGTTACACTATTTTTTAAATATGACTGGCACAAGAGAGAAAATATAGAATATCTCATATATGAATTTATATGCAAAAAAAAGTTAGCCTCAAAATATCATTCAGCTAGGATTATGGTGGGCCTTATAACAGTTGTCTTATTGGCTTACTTAGCTCACTGGCAGGGAAAATGAAATTGAAAGTTCACCGTAGGGTTAACAAATCTGTGCTCCATTAAGCAACTGAACCCCTGCCCTCTTGCTACAGAACTGACTGATTCTGACTACCAAAAGTTTAACTCTGTAGAATGTACATTACAGCCTCTATAAATACTAAATACAGATAAAATGTGTTTTGCCACAGTCAATGTTGAGCCACAGAGAACCACCTCAGCTCAATTTACAGTTTATTTTCACAAAAAGTTTTGATGTTTCTTAAAGTAAAATGTTTATCTGGAGTAATCTCTAATTTACTTGAAGCCCAGATGAAACTCTTCTCAAATATGGCTCATTGTACACAAAATTGGTACATGGTATCTTTAAATATCTTTAAGATTACAGTTTCACATGAAACATTTTTCAGTATGATGTATATTTAATAAAATACAAGAAAAATGATATATTTCTCATTGGAGTGTAATATCTTTATTGCATGAACTTTTATTCAGATAAACTGACAGCACAAATTACCTGGTATAACCCAAATTCTTGTTTTGTTAATAGTCTTTAGTGTGTCTAATACCAAATTTTATAAATATCTGTCATAAGGTTCAGAAATTAAAGGGTATGACTGACAGAGTGCACTTACGCATGCATGTGAAGAATGACTGAAGCTGTTGGTAAGTGAGCAAGATTACAATTTCTGATGTTTACAGAAACCTGCTAGAAAGAATGGATCCATTATGTGGGGTGACAGTACGAATATGCTGGGTAGCAGATTTATTTTGACTCAGCCACCACATTTCTGCATTCATTCAGGAAACTGCAGCAGAAACCTTCATCTGATTGGCACATTAAGCATACAGCTAGCTTCCTTTCATCTTGATACTTTGAATTTGTGTGAAGCTGCTCGCATTACGAGAAGTGTGTGTATGATGTGAAATCATAATTTAATAATATTTTCACTTAAACATTCTTTTTTAATGTGTATAAATGGGATGAAGTTTATATTTTAAAGGAAAGTGCAGGTTCTAAATGGACAGTATTGATTCAGTTTGTATTTCATCAGTACATATATTATTGTCAAGGTCTCTTGTATTAAATTTCAAGAGTTTGCAAGAATTAGCAGGTATGGTAAAGCGTTCTTTATGGAAGAGAAGTTTATTGATCAAAACTTTTGATGTTGGACCCTACCCTGTCCAAAAGTAGTAGTAAAAATGGTAAAGTTGTCCCTGTGCTTAACTAATCAAGCACTATACCATGAGGACATATGGCAAAGTGGATGTATATGTCCACATGTTCTTGATCTCAGCACTTGTTGAAGGTGAATGGTCAGCTTCACGCCCGTGCTGCTTTACCCGCAAGGAAAGAGCCCCCTGGTACACATTGGGTAGGAGTTTGGGTGGACCCCAGAGCCAGTCTGAACGGCATGGAGAAGAGAGAATTCTTGACCCTGCTGGAACTCCAACTCCTTGGTTGTCCAGCCTGTAGCCAGTCGGTATACCAAATCCTGAAAGTAGTAGTACTATTATACAGGGTGTCCCAGGAGGAATGTGCCAGACTTCGGGAGGGTGTTCCTTATGTTAAAGTATGCCAATATAACCCAAAACACCTATGTCCAAAGTTGAACGGTTATGGAGATAATGGCCAGACAAGTGTGAAACTTTGACAGGTGTTACACACTTGTTGATTACCAAATACATATTAAAACTGCCAGGAATATGTGGTTTCTGTAATGTTTATAATGTACATAACATCAAATTAACTTGTGAGTGACATGAAGCCATTAAATTGAACTACAAAAAAATTCGCATGCCATGTCATAGTTGTCGTTAGGGTTCCACATGAATGGCAAGCATTGACATAACATTGCTGACTGCGCATTCTGGTATGCGAGTGTATGCGGCTAGTGTGAGCCGTCATCACCACACTCAAGGACAAACATCGATAAGACTTGTCAGCTGACAGATACAGTGTGTGGACCCGCCAGAAGACCACACTTTTCTCGGGCCATTATCTCTGTAACAATTCAACTTTGGACAGAAGTGTTTTGGGTTATATCGGCATAATTTAACATAAGGAACACCTTTCCGAAGTCTGGCACATTCCTTGTGGGACACTCTGTATAATAATATTTTCTTTATCTTCATTCTGACAAGTCATATTTAAGATGAGAAGCTGAAACAAAATGAGTTACTTGATTACATGTTTATAGTGCTTTGAACTGAATAAGGGACATACTGGCATCTTTGTAATACAGATCACTGTATTAATCGTTAACAGTATGATATGCAAAGTGATGGCAGGAAAGGTTTGCAGTGTGCCTGTTATTATTATTGACTGTGAAGATAAACACACCCTGTGTAGGACTGACAACATGGATGGTTCTCCTTTATCATGCAGTTATATTGTAGTTGGGGAAGGAATGAAGTTGACCATGTGTTCCCCTATGCAACATAATTGCACACTTCCCTTCCATGAACCACTGAGAGAGGGGTAGACAGCATAAATCACGGTTGGGGGATGACACTTAGAGATGAGAGAGCTGCTAGGCATGCAGGCAAGAGAAAATCTAGATTTATTCTTTTTCCAACCCAATTATAGTTGTCAAATAAGTCTGTGATAGTTTATGAGTTTAATCTGCTTTCAAGTTTTGTTCTTGTCTCAAGCCAGAACTGTTTCAGCTGTTCATTTCAGTGCACGTTGAAAATAAAACTGTTACCACTGTTTTTGAAAAACATTCTCTCTGACATGTATTAACTCTCTAGCAAAATACTTTTCACTGCAATATTATTCATTTTCCAAGAGCTGAATGTGACTACATTTTCTTTTTCTTTTTGCAAATTTCCGGAGTAACTGTGTTACATTGTATTTAGTCTCACAAGAAAGCTGGTTATAACTGCCCAAATTAATGACCTAAGACAACTGAGGTCAAAATAGATCAACAAATAGCCGAACTCATTCACAGGCAGATGATGTTGAAGACCTTTATAGCAAGTGTACTCCAAGTGAAATTCAAATAGTGCCAAAGATGACTAAAAATTTGGCATTATAAGCTATGGTAGTGTAATGATGTAAAACAGAAATAAATGATGATAATGCCATGATTACCTAATGAGCTTTCTGATCTCATTCAGGTTCTATAAAATGTTTTTCAGTTTGAAATTTCTCTGGATTCATGAAGTGTTGAATCTGCACATCTGATATACCCTCTTCAATTTTTTGAATCACAGTTGTTTACCTTATGAACAATTACAGGAACATTTTATAAAGACATAAAATGTCAGTAATGAAGTTTTTCCAGCCTGAATCCTGAATAGAAATAACTGAATTGCACTGAAGCATTGGGGTCAAAGTTTAAAGGTCAGGACATGACAACTGTTTGACAGTCGCCAAACATCCTTATTTGATGACGAGCAGAAACAACAAATCACAGATTCAATTTGAAAACTAATGCAACATTGTGTGAAATGGGTTCATTGGGTTCTATGGTGAACAGTTTTGTAGTAATGTGGCATTTCATTATGTAATCAAACAAAATTACATCACCAGATTTACAACACTTCTGTAGCTCATAGTATTGCAAGTAAGACACAAACATGGACATGACCCCGACAAAGAAATTTCTGATGTGTTTGTGACATTTACAGCTGTATGAGAAGCTGTGTTGCAACTTTTGTGAATTGATTGGGTTTGCCCCACACACACACACACACACACACATGCACGCGCACGCAAATAAATTAAATAGAAAACTTCTGTATTGCATCTAATACTAGAAACCATATCTGTGACATTATTGCAAATATTTGGCAAGTTTGCAATAAGAAATGCAGGAGCATTCCTCAGCAGTTTTAGTTTTGCTATGGAATAGTCTTATGTTAAATGTTAAATTTCTAACGCAAATTTTCTTTCTGTCTTTCTTTCTTTCTTTCTTTCTACAGTTCAGTCTGCTATATGTTCATGTGTTATCTTCAACCACTGAAGTACAGATTAAAATATATTCAAATGGATTTGAAATTCTATAAACGTTTTCAATCAGTTTAAATTGTGAGGGAACAGAAATACATGACCATGCATTCAAAAATTATGCCACCTTGTAAGTTAAGCTTATAAAAGTGCTGAGATTTGGTACTGCAGGTTATTACATCAATGAACTGTCAGGTGTTAACATGTACATGCCTGAAAATTTGAAGTTTTCATGGCGGTGAGTATCCAGACCAGTTTTATGGATTCATCTTGGGTCAGCATGGTACTAACATGTAAAGCTCGTGATGGCTGTGAATGGAATATTTTACATGTCTATTCAGTGTGAACAGGAAGACAATGAGCTAATTAAATGGGTGCAGAAAAACAGCGTACATCGGGGGACACTGGAAAATCTACGATATAATCCATAAATACTCGTACAGGAATAATCATGTATGGAAGAAGTATGATGAGAGGCATATAACCTAACCAACCAGGAGTAATGTATATATTCAAATAATATGCAGTGTTGTTAACCAAGGTATGAGAGAAATGGTACTTATGTTATATATATGAATTTGTACACGAATGGTTATTTATACAATAAATGTCATAGTAACACTATAATGTGGAGAACACAATTATTTTGTGGTGTTTTGGGTTATAAATCTGCAGTGTGGTAGTTGGGTATCAGTGTTCAGAGGTACATGCTGCTTCTGTCTTGAATTTTATACTTTACTATATATTGGAAAACAGGGATGCAGTAAATGGAAATACTCATCAGCTAAACGAACTTGATAACTTTCATTGAAGCACTGGTGCTACATTAGAAAATACCATCATTGCAAAATCAAGAACAGTTGTGATCATATTGAAAGATGGAATTACTGCTGGTCATGGAAAGTACAATGAACTCCCTCAGCATCATACTCTTGCAATTCTCAATACTTTCTAAATTGTTTCATAGCAAGAGGCCTATCCTTCTGTCTCCTTCTGACCCAGATGATCAAATCTATTAAGCAGGGATCAGGGGCTGTTAGACATCAGTCGAAGTCATCATCATCCTACTTATCATGGATCATTTCCCAAAGCTCAAGGTGATAACAAGCACCATATAGTTTGTCTCCTCAGGAAACAAACCACTTCCCTCTTCCCCGCTACTGTCATTAATAGAGACCGTAAAGACCATGTGGTATCTTACTTCAGGACGTTATGTATGGTTGGTTATATGACATGGAGTCCCAGTAGCAATGTATTAAGCTGGAAGCTAAACATTCCAAAATACTGATAACATTCTGAATTGTCTCTGGGAAATGTTACATATTCCCCCTTAATTTTCCTTCGTGGCAACCATTCTTTGAACCCTTAATGCATTTAATGGCTATTACTTTGTCCATCAGACAGTAAAGCAATAAATGCTAACTGGTCATATAAACTGCAAGCAAGGAAGGATGAAGGTTGATTACAGCAAAGTGGCCTTATGTTGTCGTTATCAAATATTGGCCGGAGCCACAAATTTTCGTGTCGACATTCCGCACCGTGCTGTGTCCTTAGTGTTTTTCGGTGTATCGACGCTGAATGAAAGAAGACTTGTTGGACATCCCTGACGTCCCTGACCATCATTGAATCATAGGCATCGTGGGATCGCATTGGACTGGACCACGGATCAGCTGCAGATACGAACGATGGTAAGGAGGTAATGATGCGGTATGTTGCGATTTCGTAAACTGTTCGGTACAAGCAAATGCAATGTTATTGGTATGATTCATGTAGGAGCTCTTCCAGGTGACTTTGTTATTACTCACGTACATTAACGGTTGTTATGTGTAACATTTCGAATTTTTTCCTCGCAAAACCCTTCGAAGACCCTTCACGACGTGATGCTCATGACTTTGCCGGCGTCCTAACCTTTCACTTTTGAGATGTTTTTGAGTAGCGCACTTTTTTGAATGCGAATTGTTTCGTGTGGCAATGGACAAAGTACCTTATACAGAAACCGTGTGGTGTATATAAAGGGGCGGTGGTTATGGGTTCAAAACCTTTCAGCCAGTAGATTAACATGACAAAGTACATGCTTGAAAAAAAATATTTGCAGTACGCTTATGTTGGACGTACAATTTCCGAGCCGAAGTCATTATTTGATCACCTGATTTTGTGCAATGTAAATAAAGGTAGCATATTGGGAACGCTCATAAGAGACAGTCCAACTACAGAATGTGGCGACCCTGCCTTGTGTGAACTCAGTCCCTACAGGACTGGTGGGCAACACCTGGTAATAACCATTTAACCTGTGTAAGGGAAGGAAATGCTGAATAAAAACCCTGGCCATCAAAGGTAGGGGGTTTTGGAACAGGCTGGTAATCTGCCCAAAAAGGTAAAGTAGCTCATAATCTACAAAGATGCTTAATGTTTGAGGATGAAATGGCCTAACAGACTGAGCCCTAATGGATGTTGATGAAATTAATTTAAAATCTGAACATTCAAGCCAGGCAAAATGGTTGATGCTGCTGTTTCTGTTTCTTTTTTTGGAGTCTGTCTAAAATCATGGCCAGAACATTGAGCAGGGTTTTCACGATTTTTCTGTCTTTTGAGGCCAGTGCAGGGACCATTAGGCTATGGCCACTTCCTTTGGTATTCTTTTCAGTTAATTCACTAAATGCACCATTCAGTGGTATATAATTTGAACTACTTATACAGCCGCTAAGTAAGTCCACCAACCTGTCACTCAGCCCGTACTTTTAATTGTGCATGGATGAATATCCTGGCTGGCTTAGAAGCTAAAGAAACTATGTTTTTGTTAATTGGGATTAGTTCTTAAACACTGGAAGCTATCTTATCATTTATTATCATTCAGCAACCCATACATACAGGTATACCTTTTCTGTTACATCATGAATATCAAGGGCTATAAATTTTAAGTTTTCATTTATATGCTTAACTGCTGGTCATAAGAAAGTTTGTCATTTTTAAACAAACCCAGTTAATAAATTATAACATAGCTGCACACTTGGGACTCGATGACCTAGGGGTTAAGTGTTTGCCTTCAGTGCATAAGGCCTTGGGTCCAAGACTGGTTGATTCCAGTGTCTTTCTGTAATTCTTCCTTTTCCCACACTCCAAACAGTGTTCAGAAGTTTGTGAATGTAAGGTATACTGAAAATTTCTTGACTTGGTAGTTTCTTAAATGTTAAATTTATTCTTAAATAAGGTAAGAAGTGAAGTAAATATAATTTCAGTGTCTCATTATTTCAAGGATTAAATATGTAATTATAGTGTCAAACTTATAATACAGTACAATAATTGGACAATTTTCTTTGGGTCTGTTAGTTCACAGAAGAATGCACATACAGTTTGTCCACCACATGTTTAAATTTTGAACTATTTGAAAAGCCAGAAAATAAAATATGGAATGCAAGAAAGGAATAATATTACTAGTATTTTCTGTGACATGACAAGCCAGGTTTGAAACTAAATAAGTGATTTTAGCAAGTAAATAACTGTAAGTAAGCATTTTGTGTCATGTTGAATTCTCACAGTTTAAGTGATTCACATTAGAACAGCTTCACAGTAATGACCATGTTCTTCGGACTCTTTAGCAAGAATATTAATGGTGAAAAAAGCAGTCTTCTGGGATTTTGCACCGTGTATATGTGGTGTTAACCGACGTTTCGGAGGAACGTATCGCCTCCATCTTCAGGGTAGAGGAAAAAATATATAAGAAATCTGCAAGCAAAGAGACCGTGAGAACCGGTAAAAGCAGACTGGAAAAATACCCAGCTATGTGAGAGCAGTGAGGGAGAAGGGGGAAGGGCAAGTATACAAGTGAAAGCAGTAGTGTGGGAGGGGTAGGGGAAGGGAGCTGGGACAAGCAGGGTTTTTGTGTAGGGGAGAGAATGGCAAGTTGAAGGCTGGGCATCAGCCATGAGCTGAGGGGTTGGGGTTGTTATGTTAGTTGGTCATGGCCTGTGTGGCCTGGATCTGGCGTCATATCCCGGTGGGGGTTTTTTAAGAGAACAGATGAGAGGTTTCCAAGACTTGCTGAGACAAAACCCCCCCTCTCTGTTCATATTTCCTGGATGCAGTTGAATCTCAATAGCCTCCCTAATAATGCGATCCATATAGCGGGTCTTGGTGGCGAGGATGGAGGTATCCTGAAGCTGAATTCGGTGTCCCAGATCGATGCTGTGTTCAGCTACGGCCGACTTGTCCGGTTGTTCGAGACGGATGTGCCGCTGATGCTCCTTCAACCTCATGTCCACGGAGCGGCCTGTCTGCCCAATATAGACCTTCCCGCACTCGCATGGGATACTGTATACACCCGGTGTCCTTAGGCCCAGGCTGTCTTTAACCGGCCGGAGGAAATTGGATAATTTGTATGGAGGCAGACCCACTGCTTTGATGTTGTGTCGGGACAGCACTCTGCTGATACGGCTGAATATTGTCCCGACATAGGGAAGGAAGGCGACAGAGCCCGGTTTGTCTTCAGGCCGGCTGATGTTGGGCCGACGGTTGAGAACTCTGTAGATCTGCCGGTTGTTGTATCCGTTCCTCTTGAATACATCCTTCAGGAGCACCAACTCCGCATTTAGGCTGTCTTGATCACACAGTGCTCTAGCCCTGTGCACCAATGTTGAAAGTGCAGCTGCACTTTCAACTTACCTCTATCTGGTGCCAAAATCAATAGTGCTGGATTTATACCTCTACTACCCCACATGTCTTCACGGTGTGGTGCTTAATTAAGCACTGCATCAACTTTACTTTTTTACCTTTACCTCACACATCCTGACACAAAAGTTATGTTTGTTGGGGATGTATAAAAATATGTCCAGTATGTTCGCTTGTTTCTGATACAACTAACAAACATTTAGGACCAGATTTAGGTTTTGAAAGGTACCAAACTTTGATAAGTCCTCTATATATTTATGTGCATGCATATGGAACTGCATAAGTATGTTGCTAGGCAACACTCAACAGCTGCACCCCACAAAACAGTGCCACCTCCAGCTTTGTTTCTGTTTCAGTCTGACAAGATGCCCGCTGTCGTTTATCTTCAGTGTTTTACAACAAAATGTTGTGGTTAATTTTCTTCTCATTAATTTGAGGCCCACTTCATTGCAAATATATAGCGGGTGGAATTTTTTGTGATCTGAGTAAGGCTTTTGACCGAGTAAATCATGATATATTGCTATCAAAAATGGACTTTTATGGAATTGAAGGAGCTGCTCAGAAACTTATAAGATCCTATTTGAGAGGAAGATACCAGAGAGTAATTTTGTATGAAAACGGGAGTAAATGTTGTTCTGAATGGAAAGAAATACAGTGCAGAGTGCCTCAGGGCTCTGTATTAGGCCCAGTGCTCTTTTTACTATATGTAAATGACTTATCAAAAATTATATCTGACCTATCCAAACCAATATTATTTGCAGATGATACAAGTATCCTTATCTTTGATAAGAATCCTGCAACATTTAAAATCAGAATAAATAAATTATTTGAGATGATAAATGAATGGTTTAGGAAAAATGAGCTAGTAATAAATTATGAAAAAACTTATTTTCTACAGTTTCAAACTAAAAACAGTAAAAACTTAAATGTTCAAGTTAGTTATTTAAACAATCAAATTCCAAGTATTTCTAATATATCATTTCTGGGATTAAAAATTGAAAATTTTTTAACGTGGGAAAGTCATATTGATGCAGTAATTGATAAGTTAAACAGATCCTGTTTTGCAATCCGATCAGTTAAATCCTTTTTACCACTGGAGACATTAAAAATGATGTATTTTTCCTATGTACATTCTATAATAACGTATGGATTAATATTCTGGGGTAACTCCCCGCATAGTATAAAAGTGTTTAGGATGCAGAAAAGGATAATTAGGATTATAACAAATACAACAAAGAGAACATCGTGTCGTAGTTTGTTTCAAGAATTGGATATCCTCCCCCTACAAGCTCAATATATATTGTCGATCTCTCTGTTTGTCATAGTAAATAAGGAATTGTTCACATTCAACTCACAAATGCATAATTGTAGTACCAGATCTATCTGTGATCTGCATTATCCGCAAACTAGTCTGACACAATTCCAAAAAGGAATATGTTACATGGGGGTAAAGATCTTTAATCATTTGCCACCAAAAATCAAATCTATGTCTAATGACTTGAAAAATTTTAAAATTCAGTTGACAACATTTTTATTGCAAAACTCTTTTTGTACATGTGATGAATTCTTTAGTAACAAATTTGCCTAGAAATAAGGATAATAGCATAAACAGTTTTAATATTGCATAATTTTATGTATAGTGACGTAAGACTGTTTTTTTATATAAATTTAACACATTTTTTTATCTATTTTAATGATTATGAACTGTACATATATATTTATATTTGTGTTGTACTATATTAATTATGTGACTGGTTCTGTATCTATGTATATGGATTTATGGAATGTACAATAAATGAATGAATGAATGAAAGGCCATAAGCTGTGGCTTATTTAACCTATATGTAAATTTGGCACAGCAAATGTCTCATGATAAAAATGTGACGTCAAACAAAACACAAGTTGTAAGGAGATAAGTAAGTGACTGCGGTATTTCGTAGATATGCCATTTCATTAAATAACTTCGAGAGCTCATCCAGAGTTTAATGTTGTCATTATTCCCTGAGACAAGTGTTTGAATGGTCCTACACAATCTAAAGTTCATTGCTAGGCCGCACCATAGCTCAAGCAGCTAGCTGCTGGCTTCCCACCATGGCGGCCCAGGTTCGATCAAGTGGGATTTGTGATGGACAAAGTGGTGCTGGGGCGGGTTTTCTCCGAGTACTTAGGTTTCCCCTGCCAGTCATTCCACCAAATTCTCCATCATCATAATCACCTGGGCAGGCTACAATAGGCCAATCAGTGGCTGCCGTGCCGAGTGGACCCAGTTGGACTCCACCCCCCACTAAGCGAATTTAAAAAAAAGAAGTTAATTTCTCCCCAGGTATTATGCATCCATCCACATATGCTTGCTTAACAGTTTCACAGCTTCTAGCCATGTCTGTAATATCAAGGTATAAGGAATGAAGTGTGGAAGTAAATTGTTCCTGTTTAAATTATGGATTGAAAGTATGTATATATGTATTTATTGCAGGAACTCCATGCTATGATGGCTCAGTACAAAACTTGTTGGAAAATGCCTGTAGAGAGGCAGAAATTTATAAAGATAGCCAAATTGTAAGTTATGATATGTGTTTTTCACTTATTCTTATAACATACACATCCTGAAGCCACATACAGTTCACCTTGGCCTCTCATCTATAATAAAGTCTTAGTGCAGACTTCATGAACTGTGTAATATGTGTGTTGTTCCAGAAGTATTGACTCCTGCCCATTCAATGATGTTTTATCATGTGTAGGTAAATAATTTTCCTGGGGAGTAAAGCACGGCCAGCACGTAAGGCTGACAACCTTACCGCCATCTTTGAGCCGATTGTCTAGACAATGTGGGACCCTCAACGTCTCACAACCCTGTAAGCCTTCACAGCCTGTTACAGGGATAGCTTTACTTTTTTTTTTTTGCTTACTTATAGGTAGCAGCAGTAATGCCTCTGTGACTTTTGCATATTATTCTGTTACAAGAAAATTTTTGAAATTCTGAATTACTTTATTAACTCTAATAATGAAATAATCGAACCTCTGTAACAGTTTTTATGCAAGAGGGGTAGTAACTTTGTCACCGTATTCATAGGAACAAATGCTACTCCATTTTCTGTATACTTTTCATAGAATGACTTGTAGTATTTAGTGTAAGAAGGTGATGATGGGTGGTTTGCAAAACCTATGATTGTAGACGAGTGTTGTCCATATAGATGTTCAGTTGTGGAGAAGATGCATTGCCTGTGGTTGAGCTAACTCAGAATTATTGGTATTTTGCATTATGTACTCCAAATTAAATTGGAAGGCTTCTCTTTTATTTATTACAATTACAGCAGAGATAGGCAGGTGGTTGCACCCCCTTCCCAGGAATAAACAAATGAAGTAATGACAATAGATTTTATACAGCATTACAGAATAGGTTAGAAATAACAAGCTATTCTAGGACTTCAGTTTCTTTCAGTGGTGACTGTGAAAAGTACCATCTCTTGGGATTTAATGTCATGTAGTTAATCAGCTCTGGTCACTACCTCCTGACTGGTCTCTTGCTTACCTTACCCTTTAATGGTAAAGATGGAGGCCATATATTCTTCTGAAGTATCCGTGGAAATCTGCTGATCTGCATGGCATTACTTGCCCAGATGACGATATTATTCATGCAGTTGTAGGATCCCAAAAAGAATGATAGTTATCCAAAGGAAGAAGGTACTTAGGAAGACCATAAACCATCTAACTAATCCTAATACTGAAAAGGAGGGATGATGATAATGGATGTGTGTCTAGATTATGGTGTTCTGTAATTGCTCCTTGGGCTCTGTGTGTGTGTTCATACACTTCATGTATTCAGTACCTGGTCAATTCTCATCTTACTGCAGATGGTGTCTGTTATAGTGGATTTAATTTGTTTTGTTAGGAGGGAGTGCTGTTGGAGAACATGCATGACATTCCTTACGTGCAGCCAAAACACATGGGGCCAGAGGTCACGGCTGTTATGACAAGAATTTGTGCAGAAGTCCGCAGGGTTCTGCCCGCTACAATTCAATGTGGTGTGCAGGTATAACTAGTCTTAACAAAATGGAAGATGAAAAATACCATATACTTTTATGTATCCATTACATGTGACAAGAATAATAGAAGCATGTGAATTCCATACACTGAAACATTTCATCTGTGTAATATTAGCTGGGGCCATACCCTGAATGTAACCATAATTTATTGATTTAAATGTAACAGCCGGACATGACATTGAATTTAGCAGTTGTCAGAAAGTATGTGACTGCATACACAGTGTGTCTTGGCAGGTTCTTGCAGGTGGAAACAAGGAGGCCCTTTCAGTAGCACTGGCTGCTGGTCTTCAGTTCATTCGTGCAGAGGGGTTTGTGTTCAGCCATGTTGCTGATGAGGGTTTCACTGATGCTACAGCGGGCCCTTTACTTCGATACAGAGCTAGCATCAGGGCTGACAACATCCTTATATTCACAGACATTAAGAAAAAACACAGGCAAGTTACATTCAGAGTGCCTCCTGTTGATCTGCATGTCATTTCCCCAAGTACTGTTCAGATTTTGGTGAAATTTGGTATTAGGGGCTGTACTAAAAGTGGTTCCTCTTCATAACTTACTAATTAACTAACTGTCTGGCGCCGAGCCCTTCTTTAGAAGCCACCAGCTCAGCTACGCAAGAATTTCCCAAAATTTTATAGAACCTGAAGATTCATTAGCATGTTCATAAGAGTCGTCCACTGGTCCCTATCCTGAGCCAGATCAATCCAGTCCATACCAAATGATGTTATCTCTTGTAAGATCCATTTTAGCATTATTCTCCCATCTATGTCTAGATCTTCATATTGATCTTTTTCCTTCTGGCTTTCTCACCAAAATCCTATATGCATTTCTATTCCATATTAAATAATAAAAAAACCTATTTTATGTGAAGGTAAAGTTATCCATTTGCTTTATTAATTAAGCATCACACACTGAGGACATGTAAGGAGTGGACGTATAGCTCTCCCATTCCTAATCTTGGCACTAGATGGAGGTTCAGCATCACACCACTGCTGCTATTCTTTGGAGGAAATGGCCCCTGAAATCCATTGTATACTAGGCTGGGTGGGCCTCAGAGCCAGTCTGGACCCTGTGAAGAAAAGAGAAATCTTTTGCTCCAACTGAGAATTGGTCATCCATCCTCTATGTGCTATACCAATTGAGCTATCCCAGCTCCCCTACTTTACATGAAGCTTAATTTAAATTTTATCAAGTAGTTACTATAGGATTCTAACGATGGTGTATAACACACTGATATATTGGGTTTTTGGACTTTATCCATCGTCCTGGTTTTTAAGATAACTAATAAAACACGACGTTTCACTGGTCCAGTGATTGAGGCTACCTCTTTCTAACGGACCCAACAGAATAGGTGTTTTCCTTCACCTGAGGACGGAAACAGATCCAGTTTCCGAAACGTCGTGTTTTTATTAGTTATCTTAAAAACCAGGACGATGGATAAAGTCCAAAAACCCAATATATCAGTGTGTTAAATTTTATCATTTTTAATGGGGCGTGTTGTAGCGTAAGTGGTTGTGGCACTGTGCTGCAAGCCGGAAGGTCACAGGATCAAATCCTGATGAGGTAATTGTATTTATCAATTCACCTAATCCTTCCAGTAGCACTATGGCCCTGGGGTCGACCCAGCCTCTGACAGAAATGAGTACCAGGATTTTCATGGGGGTAAAGGGCAGCTGGCCAGTGCGTAAGGCTGACAGCCTTACCACCATCTATGAGTAGACTGTCTTTACCTCTTTTATCATTTTTAATAATACAACAGAGATCTTATTTTCAGTGCCCATGCTATCACGTCAGACGTGAGTTTACAGGAAACTGCAAAGGCTGCCGAGTTCTTTCTGTCTGATGGTGTGATAGTAACCGGAGCAACAACAGGGGATCCAGTAGACACCAGACATCTTCACGGTGAGGTGCATCACAGCACTGTTAGCTGTTGCAGCTATACCTCTGGCTGTAAATATGCAGACATCTCCACAGTTTTATAGTCAAGGGGACACCCGTTCTTAGTATCTGATTGAGATGGATGATGTAATAAGTAGGCCAGTAGAGATATACAGTCTTATCAGGCAATTCGTGTGATATATACGATATTACTTTGAATATAAGATGCATTCAGTTTTTGAATATAGGTTTTAGGCCAAAATTGGAAAAGTGCACATTCCTCAAATTTAAGATACACCTCAAATTTTCAATGGGAAAAAATTTGTAAAACGTGCATCTTACATTCGAAGTAATACAGTATATTATAGTTACACATGCTTACTGCCTATGGTGATGAATACCACTTACATTCTGGATCATTAGTGTTCACATTGTGTTACAGATGTTAAACAGAGCACTCGGCTCCCAGTTTTAGTCGGCTCAGGGGTGACATCAGGGAACATAAGTAACTATATGAAAGCTGATGCTGTAATTGTTGGAACTCATTTTAAAGAAAATGAAAGGTAAGTATCAGCGTTTAATTACCGAAACTATGTTAGTAAACATACAGAAATTAAGAATTGTTTCAGCTGGTACAGATGAAGTAGCTAAGTGAGGGAATGAAAATGTTACATAATAAGAAACATAGTTTTTACATATCACTCAGCATTGCTAACGTAACCTGTCGGGGGTTGTGGCAGGTTGGATACATAGTTCAGATGGTTAAGACAAGAAATGTATAAATAATTTTGTGGGAGGAACCTTCTTGGAAAGGTGCTACTTAAAAGATGAAGGAGATAATAAAATAAACCACAAAACATAAATACATTTATCTGGGATTTGCGGTTCTCATAGCAGTGACTTTGAAGAGTACTATTCTCTGGAGTGTGGCACAGTGTAGTCCAGTAGAAAGTAACTTTCTCTTTTTATTGCGAAACTTTGTAGACTGGTAAGTAGTCACTGCTAGGAGAATGTCAAATCCAAAATATTAAAATGAATCTTAGAGCAACGGACTGTGGGGTGTGCTTTGGACAGTGAGCCCAGGGCTGGCTGTAGTGGCATGTGGTTGTATTGGTGAGTAATGAATCATATCGTTCATAGTAACAGAGTTAGTGACATGTACTACACGGTGTCCCAGGAAGAATGTGCCAGACTTCGGAGGGTGTTCCTTATGTTAAACTATGCCGATAGAACCCAAAACACCTATGTCCAAAGTTGAACGGTTACGGAGATAATGGCCAGAGAAGTGTGAAACTTTGACAGGTGTTACACACTTGTTGATTATCAAATACATATTAAAACTGCCAGGAATATGTGGTTTGTGCAATGTTAATAATGTATGTAACATCAAACTAACTTGTGAATGACATGAAGCCATTAAATTGAACTACAAAAAAACTCGCATGCCATGTCATAGTTGTTGTTAGGATTCCAAGCACTATACATGACACATGAATGGCAAGCACTGATGTAACATTGCTGACTGTGCATTCTGGTATGCGAGTGTATGCGGCTAATGTGAGCCGTCATCACCACACTCAAGGACAAACATTGATAAGACTTGTCAGCTGACAGGTACAGTGCGTGGACCTGCCAAAAGACCACACTTTTCTCGGGCCATTATCTCCGTAACCGTTCAACTTTGGACATAGGTTTTTTGGGTTATATCGGCATACTTTAACATAAGAAACACCCTCTGAAAGTCTGGCACATTCCTCCTAGGACACCCTGTATATGTACTTTATTGTGAAATTAAACTAAACTGAATCTCTGATTTATTTCAGTTGGAAGAACTGTGTTGATTGCTGCCAAATTCAAAGATTCATGGATAAAATACATAAACTGAGAAATTATTAAAAGTGTCCCTGTGCTTTATTAAGCACATGAATATGTATGGAGGAGTGGAGGTATACTTCCATACATTCATAACCACCACTAGATGGTGGCAACTGGTAAACCTCATGCCACTTTATCTTTGGGAAAGAGCCCCAGATACATCACTGAACAGGAGGCTGGATGGGCTCCAGTGCCAATCTTTACACAGTGAACAGAAAAATCTCTTCCCCTATCAAGAATCGAATCCCAGTCATGCAACATGAAGCCAGTCAGTATGAAGGCAGTACAATAAATTCAGTCCTTTGAATTGTGGAATGTTACCTGCTGTCTACTGAATTCAGCAAATCATGGAGTAAGTGAAAAGAACTCCATATGGATCTGCATGCTGTATGTGCAATAAAGTTCAGATTGAGAATTCTCATGTTCTGATTCATCCCGATGTGTGAGAACTTATGCTAACCCTCATAGTGTTTTGCAATAATTAAATAACACAAGATAACAAGCACAGTCTTCAAATTACAGTGGAAATCCCATTTAAAATTCCTTGGTATTAAGGTTTTCCCTCATTTTAACACTAAATTTCAGTGATCTGAAACAGTAAGACTAATGTTAAGTTTCTGTAAGATTTTCTAATGCTTTCCAAAGAAACATTAAGTGGGGTTTTCACCATAAATAACCAGATTGTTGTGTCATCTCTTATATGAACAATGTGCAACACAAAACCATTGCCCAAGCATGGGCTAGTCCTGTCTCTTTGCCAAACTCCATATACATAGGTTGGATAAAAGTAGTGGCAACGCCTCTATAGTTCTGAAATGACTTTATTACCCGAGGTAAACACACTTACATTCCTTCAATATAATCGCCCCCCATGTGTACCACATTCTGCCAAATTTGTGGAAGGCGTCATACACCATCAGTGTGTCCACTTCTGCTGATGTCCAGCAGTGACCACCCTACAGTATGAATAATCTCCTCTCATATGTTGTAAAATGTCCCTCGCAGTGGTTCTTTCATTTTGCCACTGACTCATATCGGGTGTATGGCGGATGTTACAGTATCTCCCAGCGGCGAAGGAGATCCTTGACAGTGTCAGCATTATGAGCCCTTGCATTGTCATGAAGGATGATGGGGCTTATTGCCAACAAGTGTCGGCGCTTTCTCCTGAGTGCTGGACAAAGATGATTAAGTAGGAAATTGCAGTAGTAGGCAGCGTTTACTGTCTGTCGTTGAGGTACACTGTGGTGCAGTGTCACTCCATCAGTGTCATATGCCACAATGAACATTGCCTTCACATTACTCTGTGTAGGGTGCACTTTCTTTCGATGAGGAGAGCCAGGATGCTTGCGTTCATTTGATTTTCGCTTCAAGTGCGGTTCATATGAGTGAGCCCAAGGTTAATCCAGAGTGACAGTCCTTCCAAGCAAGTCATCACCTTCCTTCTGGTAATGGTCCAACAAGTCCTGTGCAATTGCATAACATTCCCATTGTTGCACCTCGGACATTGTATGGGGTACCCAACGCGCTGCAATTTTGCGGTATCCAAGAATATTGTGCAGAGTGTGGAGCACAGTTTTGTGACATATGCCTACCTCAGCAGCTATCTCCCACGCAGCCCATCAACGATCGACATCCAGCAAAGAAGAAAGAAGCTGAATTGTGTGGTTGTCAACATGGGGTCGTCCTGAATGATGGCTGCCCTGAATGGCATCCCTCCCTTCACAGAACAATTTCACCCATCATGCCACTGTGCGATATGGCAAAGCAGCATCACCACATGCTTCTTGCAGTCACTGATAGCAGTTTTGTGCACTACAACTTCGTGCAACTTCAGTTTTTATCCATGAGAGTTGTTCTTGTTTCGTAAACGTGTTCTTAGGGTGCTTGAACTGGGCTCCTGCACTTCAAGACGATGCACAATGCAACTCAATGAAACACAACCAGAGCCACTCACTGCACTACTTCAAGTGAACTGCTATCAGCTACAGACGGCACTAGTGCCACCTGACGCACATATTTCGTGTTACAGTAGTGTTGCCACACTACTTTTTATCCAACCCTTGTGGTATTAGTGAAAAGAAAAAAATGTCTTAGAAAAAGTTATGGGACTTAACACTGCAGATATCTCATGTTACGTCAGTATTGTTGACACCATAAGACACAAATTCAGTGAGCATGCATTTATCAGTTATGAGTCAAAATAGTAGACCTGGTTATCATCATAAGTAACAAAAACAGTAAATGAACAGAAATAAGGAACAGTACTATTCGTATGTATTTTATTATTATAGAGTATTTTCATTAAGTGAATTCATATAGGGTAGTTCATGTTTGTTTGTCTGCACAATTCAACTGAAATTCAGAATGTTCGTGTGTCGTTTAGTTTATGGATGCTGTCAGCATATACATTATATATCATTGAACGGTATGATGAATAATGAATTTGAAATGATTTGGAAGTGTTCATGGGGTATCTATGGTATTATCCCAGTATCTTCCTGAGGGGCTGAGGAAATGTATGAAAAGCCTCAGGATAATTTGGTGTGCCAGTGAAGATTTGAATGGAGCACCTCCTGAATTCAGGTATACATTACCACCACTTGGATCAGAAAGATGTCATTTGAACAATCAACATATTGTAGCTTAAAGACTATATTAAATCAATGCTGAGCCATGCAGTGGCTCCGGTATGACGTCATGGGCTTCCAGCCCCTTGATCGAGGTTCTTAAACTTATCCCCCACCCCATCCCCATGCGGGACTGGGTCACGTGGTATTGCCCTCTCCCCTCCTTTCTATCCCTGGGAGCCTTACTTGGAAGTTAATTCGAGTTCGGAGTTCAGTTCTGGTTATGGATCCATAGGGCCTTGCTCGCGGCGCCGAGCCAGCCGGAGCGACTGTCAAATTCCTGTTCGGCTGGGAGTCCAAATTTGGTTTCGGCAAGTACTGGGCTGGTTCGCGGCCGACGAGATCGCCCGCGGTCGCCCGTCGTTGGGTTTGTAGGACGGCGGCGACTCGTACCAGTTTGGTTAAATCTGTTTTTATAATTTATATTGTGTATTTAGTTTAGACTCAGCCTGTGGCCCGGCTATAATGTAGTAGTTATGTTTTCAAGCAACCAAGGCAAATTGTTGCGCCAGTAATATGGGCCATTCTGCCCGAGTTAGATGCCGCTGTGTGCGAGCATGTAAATGTGCAGTTAGTTCAGTTGTTCTGTTTAATTTCTGTTGTGTATATTAAATTCTGTTATTTGTTAATATATTGATTGCCATCATTTGTAACTACATTTACTTCGCTGCTAGCTTGGATCCCTTACTCTAACTTAGGGAGCGTGCGAGCACAGCACGAGAGCCGTATGACGGAGCAACGTTTCCCCCTCCGATTGAGGAAAGGTAGACGGAGCCGAAAGGTGCCAGAGAGAGACGGTACAAGTGGTACATATAGTCCCAGAGCGGACAGACGGCACAAGTGGTAGCAGAGGAAGCGGCTCAAGTGGTAGCAGAGCGAAACGCGGCTCAAGTGGTAGCAGAGCGATCGATTTTCACTTAGGACCTTTGGAACGCTAATTGTTAATAGGCCCCTAGGCTGTGCCTGGGCCGATGGATTGTAAATAACCTGTCATAGGCTCTGTGTATGTTTACGTATATTGTATTTATATTTGTTCTTGTTGTGTTCCATGCTTAGTCAAAATGCCACGCGCGTGGATCCATGAATTGTCCAAGCAGCAGCTGGAGAGTTTAGCAAGTCAACTAGGTGTATCGACGGAAGGAACGCTGGACGACTTGAGGAAGCGGGTGAGAGATAAGTGGACCACGATCGAGCCTTACCTGCCTCCACAGGCGTCAGCTAAGTCAATTGAAACTCTGAACCCCATTCAACCGATTACTGATCCCACAAGTCATTTGGGTACTCCCGTAAACAAGATGAAGATCAAAGTAGTGACAGACTTAATTGCTGCCATTCCCCCCTTGATAGATATGGACCCTGAACAGATACTTAAATTTTTAATTCAAGTAAATCAGATAATTGAATTAAAATTATTACCTGACACAGAATTTATGGCGTTGTTGATTACCCGAACATCGGGTAGACTTATGCATATTTTAGGAACGCATTTGGGATCCACAGATACTTGGGGGGTGGTTCAGGCAGAAATTATCTCAACATTTCTCCCACCCCGTATTAAAGAACAATTTCTGGTATCTTACGTCCTCGACAGATTTCAATCTCCTACAGAAGACTTGACAGAGTACATCATGTCGGTCGTATCAGCGGCCAAAATATTGGGTTTTCTGGGCACTGAGGTACAATTAGTCCACCGCATAGTGCAAAATTTGCACCCCAAAATTAAATCGTATTGTGTATTTCAAAACCGGCCGGAGTCGATTGCAAGTTTATTTTCCCTAGCGACAACGGTCGCAGAAGCAGTGGCGGTTGAGGACCAGCGTCGATTGACGACTGGGTCCTTTCCGCGAGAGGGTGATCCCAGGCCGTTTGTGAACGCCACGGTTCAAACCAAGGGTTCACCGGCAAAAACCGAGCTTAAGAATGCATGCTGGGCTTGTGGAAAAACAGGCCATTTCCAAAGCGCATGCCCTTCCAAGACGCGTCCGACTTCACGGGCCGGACGTTCGGGAAACGCCAGAGGCGCTCGGCAGTGAAGAGTTCATTCCGGGCGCCCAGCGTGTCACAGCCTCGGGAAACTTGCTATCGTTATGACTCGGGTTTATTGACCCCATGTGTAACATTGAGTATTGGGGCGTATTGGTTATCCGCCGTATTCGACTCTGGATCCTCACGGTCGTTCATAAGGCGGGATGTTTTACACAATATTAAGGAGTTAGGGCTGCCATGTACGCTGCAACCCGTACAGGAGCGCTGTGTCATGGCGAACGGAGAGCCCTGTGTTATCGCTGAGAAAGCGGTTTTGGGTATTAAGATTGGCACTTTTTCTTGGAAATGGCGTTTTTCTATCTTACGCGATAGTCCCATCCCGTGTATCTTGGGCGTGGACTTTATGTCGCACGCCAAGGTGCAACTTGACTTCGTGGCTAGGAAATATAGTTTCCGGTTCTGCCCCGAGCAAGATTTTGATTTTGAGCCTTTTGAGTTACGTCTAGGGATGTCGCTGAAATTTCCATCTTCCGTCAAGCCTGTCGCGGGATTGTTGTGCGGACCCTCTGTAGCTGGTTCGGAGGAGCCTGTTGATATTGTTGAATTGTTGCAAGAGTTTCCGGGCCTGTTTTCAGACAGGCTAGGTACAGTCAAGGGTATGACCTGCCATCTTGATCTCAGCGACAATATCCCTGTACGCTCGAGGCCCTACCAGTGTTCGCCTCCGCGATTAAAATTGCTGCGGGAAATAGTCCAGGATCTGTTGGACAAAGGAGTGGTCCGGAAAAGCTATTCTCAATACGCCAGTCCGGCGTTTTTAGTTCCGAAGCCATCAGGAGGTCAACGAATGGTGATTGATTATCGCCTCCTAAACAAGAAAATCGTGTTTGACGCTTTTCCTATGCCAAACGTGGAGAGTGCCTTTGCTCATTTTGAGAAGGCGACGATTTTTTCTGTACTGGACCTAAATTCTGCATATTACCAGATTCCCCTGTCGGCCAAGAGCCGAAAGGCAACGGCCTTTTGCACCCCCTTTGGGTTGTTCGAGTTTACAAAATTGCCCATGGGGATTAGCGTCGGATGCCAGGTGCTGTCTCGAGTTGTCGACACCTTATTCGGGGACCTCAAGTGCAAGTTCGTATATAATTTTATGGATGACTTGGTGGTTTATTCCCGATCTCGCGAGGAGCACCTGGATCACCTGAGGGAAGTTTTCGCTAGGTTGCAGAAGGCAGGGTTTACTTTGAATAAGAATAAGCTCCGCTTGGCGCAACGAGAAATCCCGTTTTTGGGTCATCTGCTGTCAGCTGAAGGAATCCGGATTTTACCGGAGAGGGTAGAGGCCATTACATCGTTTCCTCCACCAAAAAACCTGAAGGCGGTTCGGAGATTCTTAGGAATGGCCGGATTTTATGGCCGGTTCATCCCGCGTTTCTCTCACATTGCCGAACCGCTGCATGCTCTTAAGCGTAAAAACGCTCGTTTCGAATGGGATGATCCCCAACAGGCGGCGTTTCTCCAGTTGAAGGAAGCCTTAGCGACTCCACCAGTATTGCAGATCCCAGATTTTTCTCTGAAATTTTCCCTTGTTTGCGACGCTAGTGACGTCGCCATCTCGGCCGTTCTCCAGCAAGGGAACGGCGAGCAGTGGGCGCCAGTTGCGTATGCCAGCCGGCTGTTGTCTCCGGCGGAGCGCCGATATGCAGTTTACGAGAGAGAGTGTCTAGCTGTTGTATATGGTTGTGAAAAATACAGAAGTTATTTAGAACATAAAGAGTTCACACTGTTCACCGACAACCAAGCCCTGGCCTGGCTGCTTCGCCATGCGAAAGAATTAGGGCGCATTGGGCGTTGGCTTCTTCGGCTAGCACCATTTAAATTTCGTGCTGCCCATATAAGTGGGAAGGCGAATGTGGTAGCAGACTGTCTCACTCGCCAATACGAACAGCCATCTGAAGATGCGACGTTGTCAGGTCTAGTCCTCGGCCAGCTTCCAGAAGCATTTCAGTCGATCACAGAACACCAGAAAAAGGATCTCCTGTGTAGAGATATCTATCAGAAGGTCGTTCAGAACGACCCAAGTGTAAGGCAATTTAAATTGCTGAATGGTGCTCTGGTTTACCATCCATCGAGAGCGAGGACAAAAAGGTATCTTCTTCCCGAAGCGTTGCGGCCGATGATCTTAGAGTACTTCCATAAGTCTCATTTGAGCGCCCATCTGGGCATAACTAAGACATTGAATCGCATCGCTAGAGTTTTTTATTGGCCCAATATGAGAAGGGAAGTGGCAGCCTTTGTATCACGTTGCCAGGATTGTCAGCGGGCCAAGCCGGCCCCCGACACACGGGTTGGCCTCCACGCCAGCCAAGTAGTAACACGCCCCATGGAGCGCATTTTTATTGACTTCGTAGGACCGATCATCAGGAGCCGGAAGGGCAACATAGCCATCTTGGTGGTTCTGGATGGCTTTTCGAAGTTCATAAGCATGTACCCCGTCAGGCGGATTTCCGCCGAAGTTGTCAGAAGCTGCCTTGTGGAAAGGTTTTTCGCGTCCTTTGGCGTCCCCCAGGCGATTGTGTCGGACAATGCCGCGGTGTTCAAATCTAAGATCTTCTACGACTTATGTTTTTCCTGGGGAATACGGCACATCACCACCTCGCCGTATTACCCCCAGGCATCGCAAGTAGAGCGATTCAATCGCAATTTGAAGGTGGCATTGTCCATTTATCATCATGATCAGCACACTCGCTGGGACGACCATTTAGCATCCTTGACCCTAGCGTTTAACACCGCTTGGCATGAGTCGACTGCAGCGACTCCTGCCTCGCTGTTCTTGGGGAGAGACCTGAACCATCCCCTTGGGTTAAAATGGGAGTTAGCGGAACTGGACTTGAATAAGGAAGTGAAAGACGTTCGAGAATTTTGGCAGGAGGCGCTGGACAATTTAAAGAAGGCTCAAGCCCGTGTGAAGGAACGTTATAATGTGGGTAGGAGGCAGGTCGACTTTCGAGTGGGAGACTTAGTCATGTTAAGGCTGCACCCGCTTAGCTCGAAGTCTCAGCAGCGTTCCGCAAAACTGGACCTTAAATGGTCAGTACCTATGAGATTGGCGAGGTTTGTGTCGCCCGTTACAGTGTTGTTGGCTAACCCGGATACAGGGGTGATTGTACGAAAAGCCCATGTCTCCCAATTAAAGAGACACTTTCCACCGGGCTAGATGGCATTCAGAAGTATGATTTGTTATTATTTGTGCTTGTTATCTTAGAATGTAAGCCGTACCGGCTAGATAGGTAATTTATGGCCATGTATTTAAGTTTATTTTTCCTTCCGAGCAGGCTGTCTTGTGTTTCTCTCCCTCCCACACCTATACCCTAGCCTGGATGGATGGAGACGCGACGCAGGACTTCAGGCCCCCCTTCTCGCTTGGTTGGACCCGATCGTCGTGCGCTCAGTCGATTCTTCTGGCCTCACGCTGCGGTCCCTTGAGGGCCCTGTAGGGACTGCACAAGACCGGCCGAAGAGGAAACCACCAACTACTGTCAGCCATGGATGGCAGAGCGGCAGGAGACGCGGACGTTCGGGAAGAGTGTTGAGTGCGCGTGAACTGGACTCCGCATTTCGGGGGAGTGATGTGCTGGGGCATAAATGATATCACAGACTAGTACGGGAGGTGAATGGAACCGTAGTGAGTTGAAGGTGATATGGACCCGTAATGGCACGCTACTGAGTCTGGACGACTGAGATATTGAGAACCCCCGGCGGAGCTAAGTGAAGGTCATGGGTGATCATTGATATGGATATTGTGTTGTACTCACGACTAGGCGCAAGTACTCTGCTCTTCCTAGAACGAGCGAGAGGGATGGGGGCGGGATGCTGAGCCATGCAGTGGCTCCGGTATGACGTCATGGGCTTCCAGCCCCTTGATCGAGGTTCTTAAACTTATCCCCCACCCCATCCCCATGCGGGACTGGGTCACGTGGTGTTGCCCTCTCCCCTCCTTTCTACCCCTGGGAGCCTTGCTTGGAAGTTAATTCGAGTTCGGAGTTCAGTTCTGGTTATGGATCCATAGGGCCTTGCTCGCGGCGCCGAGCCAGCCGGAGCGACTGTCAAATTCCTGTTCGGCTGGGAGTCCAAATTTGGTTTCGGCAAGTACTGGGCTGGTTCGCGGCCGACGAGATCGCCCGCGGTCGCCCGTCGTTGGGTTTGTAGGACGGCGGCGACTCGTACCAGTTTGGTTAAATCTGTTTTTATAATTTATATTGTGTATTTAGTTTAGACTCAGCCTGTGGCCCGGCTATAATGTAGTAGTTATGTTTTCAAGCAACCAAGGCAAATTGTTGCGCCAGTAATATGGGCCATTCTGCCCGAGTTAGATGCCGCTGTGTGCGAGCATGTAAATGTGCAGTTAGTTCAGTTGTTCTGTTTAATTTCTGTTGTGTATATTAAATTCTGTTATTTGTTAATATATTGATTGCCATCATTTGTAACTACATTTACTTCGCTGCTAGCTTGGATCCCTTACTCTAACTTAGGGAGCGTGCGAGCACAGCACGAGAGCCGTATGACGGAGCAACGTTTCCCCCTCCGATTGAGGAAAGGTAGACGGAGCCGAAAGGTGCCAGAGAGAGACGGTACAAGTGGTACATATAGTCCCAGAGTGGACAGACGGCACAAGTGGTAGCAGAGGAAGCGGCTCAAGTGGTAGCAGAGCGAAACGCGGCTCAATACTGATTATGAAGATCATGGTCTTTTGGGTTGTAACACTGTATAACATTTCTCTGAAATGTCGGCAGGCTTGTACCGAACTAGATGGCATTCCTCTGAAGTGTCGATGGGCTTCTATCAATTAATTAATTCACTTAAGGGGGGGTGGAGTCCAACTAGGTCCACTCGGCACGGCGGCCACTGATTGGCCTATTGTACCTGCCCCGGGTGATTATGATGATGGAGAATTTGGTGGAATGAAGATTGGCAGGGGCAACCGAAGTACTTGGAGAGAACCCACCCGAGCGCCACTTTGTCCACCACAAATCCCACTTTAACAGACCCGGGATCGAACCGGGGCCGCCGCAGTGGGAAGCCAGCGACCAACCACTTCAGCTGTGGCGCGGCCATGGCTTCTACCAAAGTAGTATTTACAGCTCAAAAGATCTTACTCTTCATGTTTACCTTTGTGAGAACCTCAGATCCAACAATGTACTGATTCATTACTGCAGCGAACGAAAAACAAATTCCATGGCCTTTAGTTCACAAGCAGACTATACCAACTGAGCGACTGCTGCTTGTTGGAGAAGTTAGTGCCAACTTTTGCAGATAGAGGGTGTTGCATGGTCAGCACAACAGATTTGCATGGCTGTTAATCTCGGTTTCCTAGACTGGATTACTCCAGAGATGAGTATATTATTCAAACTAATAAAACTTATATATTTTAATTGTAGGAAAAATTAAACACAGCCTGACATTACAACAGCATATGTTATGTAAAGGTTTTATTCTACAAAGGAGGGAATAGCAGTTTCAGATATTCATGAGCTCTGTATTTTAGTCTTTTCTTCATAAGTCATGCAGTCCTGCTGCTTCCTCTAGGAGCAGAGACATCCTGAACAGCTTGATGGATCCTGTGCAACTTTATGAGAACCTTTTGCTCTTCTCAAGCTTTGCATGTGTATTTCTCAGCGAAACGATCTGCAGTGTTTTTGTAGATTTACAGTGGCAAGTCTTTCTTTCTTTGACATGTAAATAATACCACAGTGTGTTCAAAATGAGGTGCATGCACTTACAGTTAGATATTTAACTGTGGAAGTTACAAAACTTTCATAAATGTCACTCAAATAGGTAAATATTTTTATTATGCAAAATTAAAGCAGATAAGTCAATGGTGCAAGGTCTCTTTTAAGCAGATGATAATTATTCATCCGGTTAAGATATCCCGTGTTCATTTTGTGGTCTTCTGAGATGACATCGTGTAGTCTGGTAGTTGGGTACCCTTTCAGACGAAAATACTGCCTCCTTCCTTCCTTCTACCCAGGGAGGGAAACAGTAGTCCCCTCCAAAAGGTAGGTGCCTTTCAGTGGCTAAGATTATGTAGCTTCAGACTTCCTGTTGTTATACCATTACCTTAATCACAAAAGCATTCCTGAGCTCGCTCAGTCCAGTTCATGTCTTCATTTTCTATTTCTTGAAGAACCATTTTAGTATTACTGTCCTGTATCTAGGTCTCCCACATGGTTCTTTCTCTTACATCATTCTTATGAAAAATTTTAACACTATTCACTTTGCCCCATGTATGCTATATGCCTTTCCATCTCATCCCTCTTAGTGTAAATAAACCAACAGGATTAGCTTTGGGAGCCAGGATAGCTCATTTACTATAGTTACCAGGTTATGAGCTTGGAAACTAATGAATGGGGGTTCAGTTCATGGCAGGGACAAAATATCTCTTAACAGTATCCAGACGATCCAGACTGTCTTTGGAACCAAACCAGTATCCAATGAAATGGTTATGGGGGGGGGGTTCCGTACCAGTAAAGTGATCAAGGTTCAAATCTGACAATCTCGATCTGTCTTCATGCTTGATTAAGCACAGGGACAATTTTACCCCTTTTGCAAAGAACAGTATTAACTTTGGTTTTTAAAAATCTGACATTAAGGAAATGCATTTATATTATTTGGCTTTGAAGATGCTTAGCCTCTTTACAATCATCTTATGAGGATATATGGCTTTTATTTCCCTACTCCACTTCAAGCTGAATGTCACAATGCTGGAATGGTAGGAGTACGCTTGAACACATGTTTCCAAATAGCTTGAGTGACACGTGATGCAATACACCTGAGAAGTTGGGTACCCTGGAGGCACCAATTTGAACTTGCATTCTGGTTGGTGCTGACATTTCCACTGAAGACAGACTGAACTCCTAATTCTTGCTGAGGTCTTTTCTTTGCGCTTGTTACAGTGGTACAGGCTTCTGTAGATGACGGTGCTTCATTCTTTTTAATTGCACTCCTTAGAGGATAGAGACTGTCTTTCAACACTTGTGAATCCTGTAAACATAAATATGAATCGTGTTTCATATTTCAGTGCAGTTTAAAACTCAAATAACTCTAATATTTTATGAAAACTCATTCAGTCATGGAAGAATTCTTTTCTCTTTTGGGTGCAAATGGGCAGTGAAACTGAAAATTTGTTTGAATTCTAAATGTGAACATGAAATGATATTAACTTCATACATACTGGTTTTGAAATTGTCTTCATTCTTTTGAGGGGATGAAGAAGATCATCTTGGCTTATGTCACATGAGTAAGGTCGACGAACTGGTCTCCGAGAGCTGCTGTCCTTCCTCAGAGTTTGGCGACATTCCTGGTACTGAAAATTCCACAGTCATCTGCAATGCTGGATTGCTTATAGCAGGGATGGTAAACCACTAGCGCCAGTAATCATGTTTTGTCTGTATTAAGTACTTGAGCAGCTTGATAATTCAACAGTTCATAGAAGCAGGAGCATCTGTATTGTGGTTTTGTGGCCAAGCTATAGTCCAGTAGGTGGGTACCAATGTTTTGGAGGAACATTCTGTCCCCATTTATGAGGATGGATGTTCTGAAATGTTGATACCCACCTTCTAGACTAAACACTGTATCATAATCCAGAAGACTGTAATATGAATCTTCGCTGACATGAAAATGTCAAATCATATAATGTATATATACAACTTGTCAACTTCATAAGGAAAGATGGCAGTACCATATCATGAATTTAATTTTGATGGTATTTACAAAAAGCAATTAGCAAAATTATGTTTTATGATACAGATTCACAAGTGAACAGTTCTAGTAACATAAATGTTTATCCTTTCATCACCAAATATTTATTTCATGATACCTTTTTGAAAATAGAAACAATTTTCAGGATTACTGGGTTTTTGGACTTTGTCCATCTTCTGGTATTTCAGTGATTCTTACTTACTTACTTACTTACTTGCTTATGGAGCTGAGCCCTTCTTGAGGAGAAGCCAAATGTGTAGCTACTCAAGAATTTCCCAGCATTTTATGGAACCCAAAAGTTCATTACTGTGTTCACAAGAGCCCTCCACTGGTCCCTATCCTGAGCCAGATCAATCCAATCCATACCATCCCATCCTATCCTATCCTATCTCTCTAAGATCCATTTTAATATTGTCCACCAATCTATGCCTTGGTCTTCCCAGTGGTCTCTCTCCTTCTGGCTTCCCCACCAATATCTTATATGCATTCCTCTTCTCCCCCATTCATGCTACATGCCCTGCCTACCTCATCCTCCTTGATCATTCTAATTATAATAGGAGAAGAGTCAAGTTATGAAGCTCCTCATTATACAGTTCTCCCCAACCTCCTGTCACTTCATCCCTCTTCTGTCCAAATATTGTGATTGAGGTTACCTCTTTCTAATGGACCCAACAGAGCAGGTGTCTCCCATCCCTCACCAGTGGATGGAAACAGATCAAGTTTGTGAAAAATTTTGTTCTTTTGTGTTTTTTAGAACACCAGATGATGGACAAAGTCCAGATATCCAGTAATCCCGAATGTTACGCACCGCTGTTGGAACTCTTCAGAATCTCCAAATATACGTTTACTTCACTCCAGTCATTTCAGGGAGTATCTGCTCCATTAAATATGGTGCTTTGATGTGACATATAAACTCACATGCTTCACTGCCTCCTTCAGTGTGGAAATCCAGGCTTCCCCTTCTTCAACTGTGGCTGAACATAGTATCAACATTTCATTTTGGCATGTGATCTTGAACACTCCTTTGCTCAATATTTCATCCACTGTGCATTTCTTGAGAGGCAAGATGCAGCAGCATCTCAGGGAGTTCGGTTCAGTAGGCGGGCAGCGTCGCATCTTACAGTACATGAGCATGTCGTTGAAAAGAACAAAGTAACGGGAATGAGACTTTTTGCCATGGGGTGACACCTGTAAGAAAAAGGTAAAAAGTCATACAGATGGTGTAATATCCTCCCATCTCCTTCATAGACCCCAAGTGATCATTCTTGAAGCAATTTCCCCACACAAATGCTCTGTGCATCTCTTATATCTCAGATTGAAATTACATATTCAGCTGATCTAACTTCTTCCTTTCACCAGTTTATCAAAGTGGAGGGGGGGAAAAAGGACTGGTTTACATTTATTGAAAATATTTACACAACTTTTGGTTATTTGCTTAGTCTTGAATCAAACTTGAGAGTGAACTAACCTTCAGCAGAGTGCCTTCTTTAAGCAACCTCCTGCCGGGTGTTACAATTCTTGGCTTGCCACCACATAAACAATTCTGCAGCTTAAGCATTCTCTGCATATTTTCCTGGTCCTGTACCAAACTGTTGATGTGATCTGCAGCTTTCTCTACTTCACGGAGAGAAGCTGTTAGGAAACATAATTTACATTGAGAAAAGATAAATTAATGTGTATAAATCAGTTATAACCTGCCAAGGTTTGCTGTATTTCTGCTTGTTTTATAATTTTTATTGATATTTAGTTGTCATTCTTTGTAAGTGGGGATGCAGTGGGGGATTACACAAAGCATGTTTGTTGTTATGGTTAGCAACGACGATGGAAATATCAGATGTTTAAAAGTATATATACACAAGCTGTAGAAGCTTATAAGAGTGAAACCATATTTTCCCCAATTTTGCAGTTTTACATGTTTCATTGTAAAGTAAAGCTATCCCTGTAAGAGGCCGTGGAAGCGGCCTCCACAGTCTAGGGGTAATGTTCCCACCTCATGACTCAAGGTACGCGGGTTCAAACCCGGTGGAGGTTGTGGAATTTTTAAGGGCGGGAAAATTCAGGGAACAAGTCCTCCGGGAGGGACTTTAAGCCGTGGGTCCCGTGTCATAGATTTATGGCATGTAAAAGATCCTCATGTCTCTAGGAGACCTCTGAGCAAAATTAGGCAACAATTTCCCGCCCAAGTAGTTTCCAATGCCTCTGGTAGATGGGGGAAATATCAGGTACCGACGGCCGACCTCATTGGCTGAACGGGGCTGATAGCACGCACCAGTACCGGTAGGGTATGGCGACAGTAGAAATTAAAGGGGGACGCACAATGGACCAATAACTGGTCTAAGTGCATGGGGAAACCCACCCCCTCTAA